GAATCAATGATTAGCTGCCTCCTGCATGACCCCTACTGGGGATCGAGCACAACCCAGGTATGTGCCCTTGCCTGGAAGAGAATCTGGAACCCTTCAGTCTGCAGGCCAATGCTCCATCCACTAAGCCAAAACCAGCTAGGGCTGTATTTTCTAATTCTTTATAATTCAGTCTTGATAGGTTGTTTGTGTCTAGCTTTTGATGCATCTCATAAGTCTTACTATCTTGTGTTTCTATTTTTTCCTGTTTGTTTCAGGACATTTAAAATTCCCTTTGATTTCTTTTTTGCCTCCTTGGTTGTTCAAGAATGTGTTGTTTAATTCCTACATATTTGTGAATTTTCCTGTTTTCCTCCTGTTACTAATTTCTAGTTTCATGCCATTGTGGTTGGAGAAGATCCTTGGTGTGATTTCAACTTTTTAAAATTTGCTTAGACTTTAAAATTTGCTATGACCTAACGTATGTTCTATCCTAGAAAATGTTCCATGTGCACTTAAGAATGAATATTTTTGGCAGTTTATAAGGGTCAAAAGAGAAAATTCTTATTTATTAAAGTAGTTTAAATAGATTAAAATTTCCAAAAAGCTTAATAGCTATTTAAGAAAAAATACATTATAATTTAAATAAAGAGTAAAAATAAATATTTTTCACAGTGGCAAATGTTTGCCAGAAGTGTAATTAGAAAAATACAACTTTTATGGAAAGTAATTGCTTTTACATGATTATTTTTTTTAATTTTTTAAATAAATTTTTATTGTTCATATTATTACAAATGTTCCTCCCCCCCTCCCCCACCATTGCTCTCCTCCACCAGGTTCCCACCCCACCCTTTGCCCTTTCCCCACTCCCCATTGTCCTCATCCATAGGTGCACAGTTTATGTTCAGTCTCTTCCCACATCCCCCTCTCCCCTTTTCCCCAAGAATTGTCAGTTCACTCCCCTTCCATACCTCTGATTCTACTATATTCAACAGTTAATATTGTTCATCAGATTTAAAAAAAAATTTCCTTGGTTTTTAGATTCACTTGTTGATAGTTACGTATTTGTTGTTCATAATTTTTATCTTTGTTTACTTTCTCTTCTGAAAGAACCCCCTTCAGCAATTCATATAATTCTGGTTTGGTGGTGATGAACTCCTTTAGCTTTTTTTTTATTAGTGAAGCTCTTTATCTGACCTTCGATTCTGAGTGATAGCTTTGCTGGATAGATTATCTTTGGCTGTAGGTTCTTACTATTCATCACCTTGAATATTTCTTGCCATTCCTGTCTGGCCTGCATGGTTTCTGTTGAGAAGTCAGCTGACAATCGTATTGGTGCTCCTTTATAGGTAACTACCTTCTTTGCTCTTGCTTCTTTTAATATTCTCTCTTTGTCTTTTGCTCTTGGAATTTTAATTATGATTTGTCTTGGTGTGGTCCTCTTTGGATTCCTTTTGTTTGGAGTTCTGCATGCTTCCTGGACTTGTAAGTCTAATTCTTTCACCAGGTGGGGGAAGTTTTCTGTCACTATTTCTTTCAGTATGTTTTGGATATCTTGCTCTCTCTCATCTTCTGGGACCCCCATAATTCTGATGTTGGTTTGCTTGAAGTTGTCCCAGAGGTTTCTTACATTATCTTCAGTTTTCTGGATTCTCTTGCCTTCTAGCTTCTGTGGAGGAGTGTCTTCTGGCTCTTTATGTTCCAAATCTTTGACTTGATTCTTGCGATCTTCCATTCTGTTTTTAGAACTCTGTATAGTATTTCTTATTTCAGACAATGTATTCTTTATTTCTTGTTGATCCCTTATCATTTCTTGTTAATCCCTTAACATTTCTTGTTGATTCCTTATTAATTCTAGTTGATCTCTTTTCATATCCTCATAGGTCTTATCGATCTTTTCTAGGAAATTCTTGAAAAACCTTATAAGCGTAGATTTGAACTCTATATCCAGTTGCTTTTTGTCCTCCATTTCTTTCGTTTGTGATCTATTTTGTTGTCGCATTTCGCAGCTACAGATGGGGCAGAATTTCAGGGTGGAGGACAGCCTTGGCTTCCATCAGCCCCGCCCTATGTGGCTCCTGGGTCTGAGGGTCCTTCAGTAATCGCTGCAAAGCGCCTCTGAGAGAAAGGTGCCCTCAATTTTCACCTGCTACCAAACAGTAGGCTCTCCCCCAATGAGCCCAGTATTGGGGTTCAGTTCAGTTTTAAGTGGAGTTAGAGGTGGCGTTCAGAGCAGTCTGGAGCCCCTGTCTCCTTCCCATCAGGGCAATTCCATGGCACAGCCGACTGTCCCTTCTCTGCGCACAATGTGCGCGCCTCTAGGACCTCCTTTCGCCGCTCCCCTGGGGTTCCGCCTTACAGCCCAGCTCCCTCTGGATGAGCCTGGGTCCCCAGGGTCTGGCCTAGAACTGGGGTTCAGAGCAGTCAGAACTGGGGCCAAGCACAGTCGGAACTTTTATCTCCTTCCTGCTAGGGAACGCCAGCCAGGCACTCAGCCTCCCTCCTCTCTGGTTCAGTACTTTCCGCGCACGCTGCGTGTCTCCGTACCTTAGGCTTTTACAGCTCCTCCGTGCTTCCTTCTGGTTTTCTCCTTGCTTCTCGTTGTAGAATTTCCAGTCAGTTGACTTTCCTGTAGTTCTGGGTAATGTCCATTTTATATTTTAGTTGTATTTTATTGAAATTGTTGTGTGTGGCTGCGGCTAGGTGTTTACCTGGGCAGCCATCTTGGATTTTTTTCTCTCCACATGATTATTTTAAAGAAAATATATATCTTATTGATTTTTTACAGAGAGGGAGAGAGAGGGGTAGACTGTCAGAAACATCGATGAAAGAGAAACATCGACCAGCTGCCTCCTACACACCCCCAACGGGGGACGTGCCTGCAACCACAATACATGCCCTTGACCGGAATTGAACCTGGGACCCCTCAGTCTGCAGGCCAACACTCTGTCCACTGAGCCAAACCAGTTTCAGCTTACATGATTATTTTCAAATAGCTTTATATTGAGTACATTCCTGTATTCCCCCCCCCCCATTACCTTTCCACAACTCCCTTAAAAACTTAGCTGTCTCACACATCTAGAGGAAATAATGAACAATATAAATAGACCCAGAGAAAGAGAACCAGAGATCAGACTCTCAAACTCCAGAGGGAAAGTAAGGGAGGATGGTGGGGGTAAGGGGAAGAGATAAACCAAAGGACTGTGTGGATACATATGGGCCTAGCCAGTGGCCATGGACAACGGGGGTTGTGGGGGGCATATCTAGGGAGGGGTTTGGGATGGGAATGGGGGAATAAGGACAATTATGTGAGACCATAATCAATTAAAAAAAATCAAAAAACAAAAACAAACAAACAAACAAAAAACTTAGCTATGGCTTCTAGGATGTTATTTATTTCTGTCCTTAAAATGAAAACTTCTTTTAAATCCTAAAGAAATCATTGTATCCTATGCATTTGAATTGTATATTCTATTGGGCGGAGATTCAGATACTTCAAGGGCAGAGTCATAATCATAAAAAGTGCCTTCTAAAGTTGCCATATGATGTCACTGGAGTTAATATTATTTTTGCATCTACATAACAGGGAGCATTTTATGTGGTCTATTTGTGTATTTAAAGAGAGGTTAATTTTGTATGTTTGAATTTTTTTAAAGAACCAAGTGAACAATTAGCTAGATTCCATTGGCCTTATACATAATATACAATCAAACATGTATACATACATGAACCATCTTTGATTATTGAAATATTAGAGGCCCAGTGCACAAAATTTGTGCACAGGGGCTAGGGGCGGGAGAGGGAGATGTCCCTTAGCCCAGCCTGCACCCTCTCCAATCTGGGACCCCAGTGGGATCGGGCATAAACAGGCAGTCAGACATCCCTTTTATAATCCAGGACTGTTGGCTCCCAACTGCTCGTCTGCCTGCCTTCCTGATTACCTCTACCCGCTTCTGCCTGCCAGCCTGATCATCCCCTAACCACTACCATGCCAGCCTGATTGATGTGTAACTGTTCCCCTGCCAGCCTGTTTGCCCCCAACTTCCCTCCTCTGCTGGCCTGGTCACCCCTAACTGTCCTCCCCTGCAGGATTGATCATTCCCAACTGCCCACCCTTGCAGGCCTGGTCCCTCCCAACTGCCATCCCCTGCTGGCCATCTTGTATCCATATGGGGGCAGCCATCTTTGACCACATGGGGACAGCCATATTGTGTGTTGGAGTGATGGTCAATCTGCATATTACTCTTTTATTAGATAGGATAGAGGCCTGGTGCATGAATGGGGGCCAGCTAGTTTGCCCTGAAGGGTGTCCCGGATCAGGGTGAGGGTTCCCTTGGGGTGTGGGGCAGCCTGGACGAGGGGCCTGTGTGCTTGATTAAACAGGGATTGTGTTTCTGTCCACTTTTCTATTCCTGGAGCTGAATTTGAATATAAGATTAGTATTACATTAGTAAAAAGTCACCGGGAAGAGAAAAATTATATTTTCTAAGTGTGATCCCATGTCACAGATGTTACCATTTGTTTGAAGTAACCTGATCTCATGTTGATGTGGTGGCATTTCTCATCAAAACAAAGACAATTAATTAAATATCTCAGAATGAGGAATAACATTGCTAATTGTTCTTTTCTGCTGTAGGAAATGTGCTAGGTGTTTGTCAACAAATTACAGATGGTAGTAACTTCTATGAATTTAAAGTATTTAAACTAACATAGAGGAAAAGGAGTTATCTAAAGCAGGAAAAATAGTATTTTCTTACATAAACACACTTTGTTTGGGATCTTTTAAATATGTTATCTTATCCCCACTTTTCAGGTGAGATTCAAGAGACACATGGTTTTTCTCTAGATTTTGCAACTAGTAAGTGGTGAATTGGGATTTGATTACAGACCTGTTTGTCTCCCTTCCCCCCAATGTTACATTGCCTTCTTATCCCTAGAAAGCCGGATAGATAGGTGGCATTTAGAATCATTTTTATGTGTTTCCTTTTACCTATGATGTGATTTAGCCTTTTTCTCCCCCTTAGGATAATACCCTTCAAGCTGCATGGCCCTCAGCTGATGACTCCACCGCCAGCAGTATCTCACTGCCTGATTTCAGCTCTGGTTCTCCCTCAGCCACTGGCAGGGAACTCTGGTCAGAAAGACCTTTGGGTGATTTGGTGTCTACACCTAAATTAGAGTTTCCCTCGGAGGTGGGCCTCCATTCCTCCCCAGAGGGTTTAGAGGTTAGCAGTTTGACTCTTCATTCTGTCACCCCAGCAGTGCTGCCCACTGGCTTGCCTGTGGCTTCTGAGGAAGGGACTTCTGGATCTTACTCATTAGAAGATGGTAAGAACTTCTACTTCCTGTTCATATTTCTTGACTTTATTGTGTAGATGACAGGGTTTTGAGAAGAGGAAGAGACTGGGGTTCATAGAAAAGCATGTGTGGATTAGAAGAAAATGTCATGGGAAAATTGTGTGACAAAAGGGAACAATCAGATTTAATTGGTTGGAATGGAAATGAACTTGGTAGACTGGGGTAGGGATCAATTAATAGATATTTTGAAAGTCCCATTAAAATACACAATTAAATTACTGTTAGATAACTACTTATTTGAATATTGGGTTGGTAAACAAAGAGCAGCAAAGAAGATTATCCCAGTAGCTTTTAACAGGACTAATTATAGAGTTTTAGCTTGCATTAGGTTTCATTTGGGAGAGAAAAACTGAACTAAGGAAGTTATAGAGAGATTAAAGAATGAGATCAAGTAGATGATTTAGGTGTTGTGAAGGAAAGGAGAAATTAATGTGACTCAGGCCTGAGGTATATTTGAGACAAAGGAAGATGAACAAAGATATAAACAATGAGTCCAGGATTTTGAACATTAAGTGAACCTGAAAGATGATGGACAATAAACATAACAAGGAAATGGAAATGGAAGATAACATTTCCTAGCGAATTCTCTCCCTAAGTTTTCACTAGATTCAGTATTTATTGTCAACATGGTTATCAACAGTTTTTTATTTTCATGGAGTAAAAACAAAATCAAGTGCTTAAAGATGAATTATTTTAATAGTCTATATCTTGGTGCTCTCAAGGAAAGGTATATTCATGAGTGATTGTACCACACCATAAAACATAATCATACTGTCTTGTTATTTGCAACTGTCTTTACCAATCTAATGGAAAGAAACAGGAAGCTGGTTTTATTTGGAGGACTGGGAATATATCTTAGTAACACTGTAGATTAATTAACGGAAAACTTTGTTTTCAGGATTAACCAAAGTTGAGGGGTCAGAAGATTCTTTTTCAGGTGATCGTTTGCCCTCAAGTACATTAACTCATCCTATACCAGAAGAAACAATACCATCTGAGGAAGATTCTGCAGAGTCTTTGACATCCTCACCATATCTGATCTCCTCTGTCACATTAGATCTTGGTCAGGAAGTAACTACACCTTCTGCCTTGGACCCTTTGGCCTCCAAAGTTAGAGGCCAATTAGAAGTGAGCACTTTGATGCCAGACACATCCATGGAAAAAGTGTTCATGTTTGAGAGTGGCTTAGGTTCAGGGTCTGGGGAAAAGGTGAGTGGGATTACTTGGCCATGGAGCGATACCTCATTAGAAAAGAGCATTGAACCACTGACCAAATCATGGCTGGGAGATGAGGATTTGCTTTTGCCAATTGAGAGTGTAGACGAGAAACTAGTTGTAGGTGACAAAATAGATTCCACAGACCGAAGTATTGAGCACTCACAATATGGGCATTTTGATAGATCCACACACTTAGCAGAGGAAGAGCCCCTTGACAGACCTACTGTGCCCACCTCTGCAGAGACCACAACTCAGTCCGCACTTCTAATTCTCTCCAAGCGCACGTCAGAGGTAACCGACACTGATTATTACTCAATTACCAACACACCTCCTCTTCTGACATCTACAGCAATCTCTGATTCTACTCGTAAACCAGATCAAGTAGAACCATTTCTAAAGGATGATATGGAACAAACTACAGAGCCATTTCATCGTGAACAGTTTGATAGCAAGATTTCAACACTGAAGCCAGATATGCAATCTTTGTGGACCATACTGCCAGAATCAGATGTAGTTTGGGCAAAAACTTCTTCCCTAGGAAAACTGTCTGGAGACACATTGGCAAGCGCACCAGAGAGTATTGACAAGTTCTGGTTGAAAGCTTCCATGACACAGTCTACCGAATTGCCTCCAACCACAAGCCCCACCCTGCTGGAGGATGAGGTAATTATGGGTGTACAGGATATTTCATTAGAACTGGACCGGATAGGCACAGATTACTATCAGCCTGAGCTAATCCCAGAAGAAAATGGCAAGGTTGACAGTTATGTGGAAATGTCTACCAATGTTCGCTCGACAAAGATGGCTATTGTGGCCCGCCCCACAAAAAGAGGTGACTCAAATCATACCCAGACCACAGGAGCATTGCTGGTTTTCTTCAGCCTTCGAGTGACTAACATGATGTTTTCAGAAGATCTGTTTAACAAAAACTCTTTGGAGTATAAAGCCCTGGAGCAAAGGTTCTTAGAATTGGTAAGCATAAAAAGTGAACCATGGGCATTAGTGAGTAGTCATGTATGAACCCACCTCTTTCTCCTCAACACAGTGGTCGGCAAACTAGCTAGCGAGTCACATGTGACTCTTTGGCCCCTTGAGTGTGGCTCTTCCACAAAAAACCATGTGTGGGCGCGCACTTATGGTGCGATTGAAACTTTGGGCCCATGCGTAGAAGTCGGTTTTCAGCTCTCAAAATAAATTTCAATCATTGTACTGTTGATATTTGGCTCTGTTGACTAATGAGTTTGCTGACCTCTGCCTCAACACATAAGATCTGAGCCAAGGAGAGTGTGGTCTGCTGTAGACACTCATTTTTTTTAATTTTTTTTTTTTTTAATATATCAACTAAAGATAATGTCATGGCCTAGAGTTGTTAGGAAAGTAATAAGACAGGTGGATATAAATGTGATATCACATGAGGGTGATGTGGTAACTTAGATACTAAAGATTGTGGCATGAAGGTGATGTGATAGTTTAGATACTGAAAATTGTATTCACGAATTCTGGGACTAAAATAAGTTTAAGATTTTTTACACAGTTTATTGTGAGACCAATGTTTTGTGGGTATCTATGACACCTTCACTGTTGGGATACTTTAGTAACAGAGAAAATAAACTTTTGGTATCTAAAACTGTCTGTGAGTTCCATGTGGTTCCAAAATAGCACTAATGAAATCTCATGACTCTCAAATATTCACAATTGACATTCTTTTTTCTTAAAATTTTTTTTCATTTACAGTTTATATTCATATTATTTTGTATTAGCTTCAAGTGTACAGCATATGGCTAGATAATCATATACTCTAAAAGTGTTGCCCCTAATATTTTCAGGACTCAACTAGAACCATACATATTTATTACAATATTATTGACTAAATTAAAGGCCCGGTGCATGAATTTTCTGCACAAGTAGGGTCTCTAGGCCTCAGTGATTGGGGCCAATCAGGGCCTTCAGGCTGGCAGCCAGGGCCTCCCTTTGTTTTGCGTTGGCCCCTGGTTATCAGCACATGTCATAGCTAGTGATAGAACTCCCGGTCTCCTGATCGAACTCCTGGGGGGACATTTTCATATTAGGCATATCTATATCTATATCTATATCTATATCTATATCTATATCTATATCTATATCTACCCAGTGCATGAATTCTGCCTGGGTGGTGTCCCTAGGCCTGGCTGGCGATCAGGGCCCATTGGGGCCATCTTGCCCAGTCCCAATCAGGCTGGCCAGCTGGAGGGAGGAAACATGGGAGGTTGGTCAGCCACAGGAGATTGGCTGTGGGAGCACATTGATCACCAGGGGGCAGCTCCTGCATTGAGCGTCTACCCCCTGGTGGTCAGTACACATTATAGCTACCAGACAGTTGCTTGGTTGTCTGGTCATAACAGTTGCTTAGGCTTTTATGTATATAGATTTCCTATGCTGTACTTTACATCTCCATGACTATTAATTACCATTTGCAATGGCATGGGTGTACCTTGAGGGAATTATGCTAAGTGAAATAAGTCAGAGAAAGAGAAATACTATATGTATGATTTCACTTATAAGTCGAATCTAAAGAACAAAATCAATGAACAAACAGAACAGAAACAGACTCATAGATACAGAGAGCATACTAATGGTTGCCAAGGGGGATTGGAGGGGGAAACTAGGTGAAAAAGGTGAAAGGATTGAGACGTATAGATTTGTAGTTACAATTAATACTTTTGTTGATGAACAGTTTAAATAATGTAAATAGCATGCAATTTGGAAAGGGGGAGGGGTTCATCCTTGTTTAAGTTTTTTTTTTTTTTTTTGTATGTGTTTAACAAAATGTAAAACCTTGTCAATAAACTGATCATTTTTCATGTATTGCAGCTGGTCCCCTATCTCCAGTCAAATCTCACAGGGTTCCAGAATTTAGAAATCTTGAACTTCAGAAATGGCAGTATTGTGGTGAACAGCAGAATGAAGTTCTCCAAGTCTGTCCCTCCTAATGTCAACAATGCTGTATACATGATTCTGGAAGACTTTTGCACCACTGCCTACCAAACCATGAACTTGGCTATTGATAAATACTCCCTTGATGTGGAATCAGGTAATGATATTGATTACTCTGCTGCTTTCTTAGTGGAATCCAGTAATTATTCTTATGTATTTTTTTCTATACCAAGTCAAGGTGAATTCAACACTTGTAGATAAAAGAGTATCATGTCAGGCAAATTTTCCACATCTTGATAATTAGTATATCTCTTCCAAAAACATCAGTATCAATCTCTTTTCAAAAGGGTTGTCTGAATATGTTATCTTATTTACCTCCCGTTTCCTTTTCTACTCTATCTGGCTCTCTCTTTTACCTTTCCACTGGATATGGTTTTGGTACATCTCTATTTGTCAAATCAGGTAGATTTGGACTCCCTTCCTTCTATATAATTTTTCCCATGTTGTTTTATCCATTGCCATTATTATAAGTCTAATAAAGATATAATTTCTCTCCACATTTTTATATACAGATTAGATTGTCTTCTGAGCTCCAGAATCAGTATCTAACTATGTACTTGTTGATCTCAACTTGGATGTATTCTATGTACATCAAATTTAAGATGTGTAAGAGTGAGATCTTGTTTTCTTCATCTCTCCACATTTCAGCTATATCTATTCTGTTCAGCTTCACCATCCTGATAAATGGAAGCTGTGTCCAATCAGCTACTTAAGCCAGAAACTTGGAAGTCATTCTGATACCCCAGTTTCTATTACCACCACTGCCACTACTCTAGGCCAAACCATTGTCATCTCTCATTTGAACTAGTTTCCTCATTACCTCTCTTGTTTCCTTCCCCTCTCCATTCTGCAATAGCAGCCTGGGTAGCAGCTCTTTGTAAAAACATCGATCAGATTATTTTACTTCAGTGACTGCCTGGTTCAATAGCTACAAGGCCAGGACCCAATTTCCTTCCCTGATGAAATGAAACTAACTTCTTTGCTTACCAAGTCAAACTAGCTGGTTTTTAGTTCCTCAGATTCAAGCAACTTTTCTTGCCTTACAGCCTTTGCACATACTGTCTCCTTTGCTTGGAATGCTTTTCCCTCTTGGCTGACTTCTGCTCCCCCTTTATGCTTCAGTTCAAATGTCTTCTCCTCAAGACTTTCACTGACTCACCCATAATCTAGATTGGGTCTCTCCTGTTAGTTTTCCTTGTAACATCATGTTCTTTTCCTGCTATAGAGCTTATAAATATTGTAATAATGCTTATTTATGCACATAGTTGCTTAATGGGCATTATCCTCAGTTGAGCTATCCACAAGGAATGATATTTTATCTGTTTTATTAGCCATAGTGTCTTGCATATAAAAGATACTAAGATATACTGTGAATGAGTGAAATGAATCATGGCTTTTATTTGGAAGATTTGGATTCAGTGAATACTGTTGAATCCTCAGACTTTGTTCTTTTTCTTCTACACACCAGAGGACAGTGGTTTTGGGTAGGAGTAAGGGGGAATACCCGAATTCATGTTTCCCCAGTGCCTTTTACTCTCAAACTGGTTTGAAAGTCAACTCTATTATTTAACTGAGAAAGTCACATTCTTTCCTTTGAAATCCTTATTCATTGAATGTGAGGAAAATGATTTGGTTAATCCTCCAGTATTTAAACTTCTTGCCATTTGAATTCCCTAAGGCCAGTTGCACATTCTTTGCTATGTAGGTGTAGTGGAAAAAGCAAGTAATTATAATTTGGAAGGCCTGATTTCTTTATCTTTTCTTTTGTTTTTAAATCCTCACCTGATAATATTTTTTCCCATTAATCTTTAGAGAGAGAGAATGGAAGAAGAAGAGTGGGAGAGAGAGAGAGAGAGAGAGAGAGAGAGAAAGGAGAGAGAAAAAAACATTGATGTAAGAGAGACACATCAACTGGCTGTCTCCCCAACTGGAGCTTTAATTGACCTGTAACCGATGTACATGTTCTTGACCAGGAATTGAACCTGCGACCCTTTGGTGTGCGGGCCAATGCTCTAACCACTGAGAAAACCGGCCAGGGCTGGAAGGCCTGATTTTTTGCCTCTGTTCTGCCATTTATCATTTGTGTGACCAGAGCTGATCCATATTATCTCTGAGCTTTAGTCCCTCATATATTAAATGGGGATAATGTTTGGGGTGATTACTAAATAAGTTATATAAATATCTAATTATTATGTTATACACAGGAAACTAATATAATATTATATGTCAACTCTAATTGAAAACTTAAAAAATATTTAAAATGGGGATAATATTACCTGGTCTATGTATTTTATAGGGCTAGTATAAGTATTAAACAAATAACCTATATTTATATTTGACTCACCATACAAATGCATAAAATCAGATATAATTTATAAAACTTTTTGCACAAGTCAACCCACTTTTTTAAAAAAGGGAAGTATAATAAATAAGTGCATTTACATCAATATTTTATGTAACTCACCAATGTGAGCTGCATGCTGAGTCTTTCACGTTTATTGGGTCATCTTTTTCTTTAATATTCAAAGGAACTGCCATTAGCCCCTCCCATGTGCAGTGTAAAACCTGCATCCAAGTCCCTCCCATCCCCAATATCTCTAGGAATGAACAGGGAACTTAAATATCCTCTAATCATTTCCAGCTCTGAGTTCCTTCTGCTGAATTCCCAATCCTTGTAGTTGTTCTTTCTAAAAACCCAATACAGATCACAGTCCCATTTTTTACTTTTCCTAGGCACTTCTACAAAGTAGTTGATTCTATCAGCTATTTTCTTATGTTATGAGGGTGACAGAGAAGGCTTTGTTATACCACCACAGGTGGTTTAAAATATTGTTGGGCATAAATATTCTAAACTTTCTCAGCAATCCTTTCAAAACCATTTCTTATTGGCCAACTTTTTGGACCAAGCCAACTATCTTGCTATTCTGGTTGTCTTTCTACAACATTTCCATATTTTCTTCATTCTTATTTTTCTAGACCCATCAATTCCTTTCTTAGCCTGTCTCTGGTAAACTAGACATAATTCATTTATAATTTAGATCCTTGTCTCTTATCCCAAATTAAGCTCCAGATCTATCTGTTTTCCCATAAAGTCATTAAGGTACTCTTAAACAGAGGGCCATGTATTCTGGCATCCACCTTTAACCTACACAGAGGAATGGAAAAAGACTAAAGCTACAGTCTTTTATTTACATGATTATAGTATTAGTCTTTAACTTCCATCAACATAGGGAGTCATGCAATATTATCCTTCTCATTCTCTAAATACACTGCTAGGCCAGGTAGTTTCTACCTCATGATATCCCCCAGGTATTTTTCACAGTCACCTCCCCATACAATATGTATTAATATACTAGAATAAGATTGTGAAGACTCAAGAAATACACAATGGAACCCGGCTGCATAGGCCCTTTGTAGAAACTGCCTATCTACTAACTTTTGTATGCTTTCCTCTCTATATGAGCACCCCTGTATGAGTTTCCTAATGATGCTGTAACAAAAGAACACAAATGGTATGGCTTACAAAACCAGATTCATTCTCTTAGTTCTGAAAGACAGAAATTTAACTAAGGTGTTTCAGGGCTATGCTCCCTCTGAAGGGTTTAGGAAAGATTCTTAGGATGAATCTGAATTTTCGTGTGGTGTTGATAGTGATGGTGTAGTTTAATGCTTCAGGAAAGGGGTTGTCCTGTGGTACTTTGGAGCAGTGAGACTTAGTGGAGGAGTTTCATGTACTCCAACTCCTGTGTTTTGCCTTTCCTAGCTTTATTTTCTGGTTTGTTTTATGTTTTTAGGTGATGAAGCCAACCCTTGCAAGTTTCAGGCATGCAATGAGTTTTCCGAGTGCTTGGTCAACCCCTGGAGTGGAGAAGCAGAGTGCAGATGCTACCCTGGGTACCTGAGTGTGGAAGAGCTGCCTTGCCAGAGTCTCTGTGACCTTCAGCCAGACTTCTGCTTCAATGATGGGAAGTGTGACATTATGCCCGGACATGGGGCCATTTGTAGGTATGGTGTAGTTAGGAATTTTGACTTCACGAGGTTGTGGATACTTCTTCTGAGGAGAAAGCGTCTACATCTATGATTTTAGGGTAATCACAGCAATATTTGTTATGGAAGTTATATCTAAACAATAGATTGGTACCATTTAGTGTTCATGTGAAGACTAAGTCAGTTAAAAGGCCTGAATTATAGTTCAAATAATTATTTTATTTTATCCTTTTAGGAAGCTGTGAGAAAGACATTGTCTAGTGTCCCACTGAGAGTCCTGGGAGTAGTTGGAGTCTGTGTTGTGGTTATTGGAGGGGACGGTAAGGCAATTGGTGCTTAAATTAGGTTTCAGCATACGGGCAACACTTCATCCTGTACCTGAGAGTGAAAACAAAGGAGTTTTATTCCATTTGGATTATGTTTTTAAAAATATATATTTTATTGATTTTGTACAGAGAGGAAAGGAGATAGTTAGAAACATCGATGAGAGAGAGCCATCGGTCGGCCGCCCCCTGCACCCCCCCCACTGGGGATGTGCCTGCAACCAAGGCACATGCCCTTGACCGGAATTGAACCCGGGACCCTTCAGTCCCCAAGCCTACGCTCTATCCATTGAGCCAAACTGGTTTCGGCTGGATTATGTTTTGAATGGCTTTGGGCTGCTCTTAGTCCTATCAAGTATTCAGAGAAAAAGAAAAGCAAATATTTAAAGTCTTTGAAGTCATGACAAATATATTTTATTTAAGTAGCTGAGATCCATTTTTTTAAAGGTAGAACCAATGAAAATGCTGCAGACAGATGAGCAGATACAGGTATCCTGCCCATTCCCCTAAAACAAAGCAGAGCAAATCAACCTCCCACCACCCACCACGGTCCCATGGTGTAAAAGGAGAGAATGCTGAGAAGAAATGAGAGGACAATTTGTGTACGTGAAAATGGTCAAATGTTGGCATAATGCCACAAACAGAGGAACTAGGTAGAAATGACTCAGATTCTTCTCTGTGGAAAAGTGTAATGTTTAGCTAGGAAACTAAGGGGAAAGGTAGTCCCTTGATATCGAGAGAAATTAGAATTATGGAAAAGCAGTGATTTCCTTGTTGCTGTGGGATTTGACCTTTCTGCACAGGTCTGTGGCCTCGGGGCTTGGAGGACCACTGCCGGGTGGGGAAAGGACAGGAGGAGTCTGGGGACTTGGTTCCAGACCCAGCTCTGTTGCTGACTGAGCGTGTGACCTCACACCAGTCACTTTCCTTCTGGCCTGTTTTTGTTTGTTTGTTTTTTTAAAATTTATTATTTTATTGATTTTTTACAGAGAGGAAGGGAGAGAGACAGAGAGCTAGAAACGTCAATGAGAGAGAAACATCGACCAGCCGCCTCCTGCACACCCTCAACCGGGGATGTGCCCGCAACCAATGTACATGCCCTTGACCGGAATCGAACCTGGGACATTTCAGTCCGCAGACCGATGCTCTACCACTGAGCCAAACCGGTTTCAGCCCTTCTGGCCTGTTTTGTTATCCATGACCAAGGAACCTGAATAGAACACTTCCTTTAAGCCTTGCCGATCTTTTATCCCATCAGTTAAATATAGTCATTGAGGACCTCCAGGATCTGTGCCCTGCATCACATGGACTTAAATCATACGATCATTGAACCTGCATATTTACCTCTTTACGGAAGCTTCCTGTAGCCAGTATTTATTTCTTGACCTTTCCCAGGTCCCACTGAAGCTCCTGCTGTTCATGATTACTTTCAGCAAAGTGACTCCACTTGGAGACTCGGTCTCTTCTCGTTACAGGTGCCGGGTGGGTGAGAACTGGTGGTACCGAGGCGAGCACTGCGAGGAGTTTGTGTCTGAGCCCTTGGTCATAGGCATCAGCGTCGCCGCCATGGCTGGACTTCTTCTTGTCTCTTCTGCTGTCGTCATCTTCCTCATCAAGACTCTTCAAGCTCAGCATGCCAGGAGAGAAAGACAGAGGCCCTTTAGGTAAATAAAGAATATTGCTCTTGGGTGAAATAAAATGTTCCTTTTATTTATTCATTTAGTACTGACCATGTGACAAATATTGGCTAGGGATCTGGGGTGAAGGGGCGAAAGCTAGAAAGCTGAATGAAAACATGGGCCCTGTCTTCGAAGGGTGTCCAACTGGAAGCAAACAGAAGCAGCAGAATGAGTAAGATGTGAAGGGGGCTGGGGGAAGGATGAATTCGTTTTGCCTGTGGGAGAGAGCATTGGAAGTTTTAAAGATGGTTATGATAGTTAGCTGGACAGAAGAGTAGAGATCTACTGTGGGTGGGATGGGACACTTTCTAGCTAGTTGAATGAGCATGAGCAAAGTTAGGAAGGCATGAATGAATCTCAAGGAACACCGAAGGAATGGCATCATTGAGGATGGCCCAAATGCCTATTTCATGGTTGGGGAGGGGTTGGAAGGGTGATGGAGATAAGGTGAGATCCTTGTCTGAAGACCAGATCAGTTAGTTTGTTACCCTTTGGCTCATTGTGGTTCTAAAGCTAGATAAGACTCTGACAAGAAATGATATCTGATTTTCTTTTAGTAAAATGTAGCTCCATTAATGAAGAAAATATAGTCTGTTTTACTTGCTAGACTAGCAATCCAAGGACCCTTTGGGTTGTTATCCTATATAATAAAAGCCTAATATGCAAATTGTTCCTTCAACCTGGAGTTTGACCTGACATTTGACCAGGGGGCAGGTGGCTGGGGGAAGGGAGGCCCCACTGGCAGCCGGAAGCCACTAGGCACCTACTCATGCATGAATTTCATGCACTGGGCCTCTAGTGTGATTATAATCAGTGGTTGTACTTTGCTTTTGTGCTCCCATAGTCTATAAGAGTCACTGGTTTAGGTCTAGGTTACCTTCCCTCACCCTCAGCTTGCTAAGGAGACACCTCTCCTAGGTTCTTTCTTTCTTTTTTTTCTTTTTATTAAATATATTTTATTGATTTTTTTACAGAGAGGAAGAGAGAGAGAGAGTTAGAAACATCGATGAGAGAGACATCGATCAGCTGCCTCTTGCACACCCCCCACTGGGGATGTGCCCGCAACTAAGGTACATGCCCTTGACCAGAATCAAACCTGGGACCTTTCAGTCTGCAGGCCAACGCTCTATCCACTGAGCCAAACTGATTTCGGCCTCTCCTAGGTTCTTAGAGCACCCAGGACATACTTCCATCATTGTTCGTTTCTTTTTATTGAGTCTGACTTTTCATTAGACTGTAATCTCATTCTGGAGAGGGATTCCAACCAATTCTTTATATTGTTACTATCTAGAACTGTCTTAGGCACATAACCAATGCTCAGTAAATACGTGTAGACCTGAATTGAATCTGAGGCCCAATACTCCCATAATTATATTTTTATCAGATTCTCTATGTGCCACACATTGATTTTTTATTTGTCTCCTCTGGGAATGATGGCGCCATATGCATTTCATGACATTCTATCTATTGGCAGGCTTGGTTCCCCTCAGCGTTTATTGAGTGCCAGGCCCTGTGAATGAGACATGGAACAATTCCCCGGGGCACTTGCCATGTAGTTGAGGAGATAGTGATGACAACACCTGATAAATAATTTTTGAGATGGATCTGGGTATTTTTTCACAGTCACCTCCCCCTATTTGTGTCAGCTTACCTCCTTTTCTTCCTCAAGAGAAATCTTACTACAGGCAAATAGCCTTCCAAGAAGTTATACGTCTGAATCTGAATGAATCCCACTTTTCTTTGTGTGGCTCCAGCAGACAGCCTGCCAGCCTTTCGTCCATTGAAGATGCTGTAAAGTACAACCCCATGTATGAACGCCACGGGGCGGGAGTGGGACAGCACAGGGGACCCCATCCTCAGGGTCCCTTCCACGGCGCAGCACGAGGAGAGGCGATTGGTGGTCTGAGCAGGGAAGAAATCAGACACATATATGAGAACAGTGGGCTTTCCGGAGAGGTAGGAAACTGCTTTCCTGTTGTTGCTCTGATTTTTCGTGTGTGTGTGTATACACGAGCTTCAAGAAAAGCTGGGAAGTATTTCCTGATTAGTTTCTGTCTCATGATATCTCCCAGTTGATGTAGTATGCAGAGGGTATATGAATCTGAGCTGTACCTTCTCCACCCAGCGGTTTCTTTCCCCATTATTAGCCATTGCTCTCTCCCTCCTCCCCACTGCCTTAGAAATATGCCGGAGTTGCTCTGAGCAGCTCGTGTACTATCCAAACCTTCCCTTCTCTCAAAAGGCCATTCTTTCCTATAGCTCTCCCCTGGATAGCCCAGACAGCCACATTTCCTTATAAAAATTAGGACTCCTTTTAAAAGATGGTGTAAGCTTTTCTAATGCCACACACGGCCTATTTTTCTTTTCAAAAAAGGAAATTCAAGAAAGAATGAGGATTTTGGAACTGTACGCCAACGATCCTGAGTTTGCAGCTTTTGGGAGAGAACATCAAATGTAAGCACCAGAGACAGCGCCCCTGTCAGCCGTCAGGTAGCGCCTCCAGCGGGAGCGCACAGTGCCTGCTCCTGTGATAACCAATGTTTGCTGAGCTCCTCAGAGCTAACACATCCGCACGCGGATTACCTCGTTTGTTTCTCATGATGGCTTTGTAGGCTGAATTGTCTTTATTTAAGTTTTATAAATGAGGAAAAGGGAGGTAAAGTGACTTACTCAAGATCATAGTAACAGCAAGCGGCAGAGAAAATTTAAAACAAAGACACTGTGGGTTCTGGCCTAGAACTCCCTGGGCTGTCATATTTTCTCTCTTATTACCACAGGTATCACCCAAGAGTTAACGCTCTAAAATACTTTCCATAGATAGTTTCTATGAAAAGCATTTGAGAAGCCATAAATCCTTACACTTAAGTATCTCTGTAGATACTTTTCACTATGCTTTCAATGACACAAATCTCATTAAAGGGTATCTCTTGCTTCTATCAAGTTTACCTTACATTTCATTCTGTCTTTCCATTTGCTTTTCTCAGCATGTATTTTGGGCAAGGATCTGTAGTTTTTCCCCCTTCTGTTTCCCAGGATCCATAACCAGAATTAGGTTATTAAAATAAACCACCTTATAAAGAGACTATTGTGGACATTGAGTGTAGTGGGTGAAATTATAATTTGGCTTTTATTTTTGCTCCTAATGCTGCCCTCACAAAGGTGCTTCTTCATGGGTGGGTTCCCCCCAGGCCAGGTATCTTCACGTGGCTCTGAAAAGAGAAAAACCAGAGCAATTCGTGCAAGTTTGTAGGAGAAATCCACGAAGAGTCTGGATGGCCCTGTGTCCTGACCGGGGGCCTCTGTCCCTTTGCTCCAAATCCCCTTTTTCTGACAGGCAGCCCTTCATTCATGATTCCTCTCCGGCAGGAAGGGGCACATTGACACTTAAGGAAATTGAGGGAGATACTTTTCTAATTGCATGTGCCTGATGGAGAATTAAAAAAAAAAAAAAAAATCTCAGGGCACCTGCCTTGACCCCTGGAAGGTGCTCCGCCAACCTTGCTGAGTGCAGTTAGAACAATTTTACCCGGATCTGCCCTTGAAGCTCACACACCCACTCATCCTGGCATCTCCAGCCAGCAGATGGCCCTTCCAGAAGAAGCTAACGGAAAGAACATGACTAACGTTTTTGTCTCCCTAAGACTTCTCATGAGCCCCCTGCAGCCACCTGTCCGAATGTGCTTCCTGAACACATTACAAATGCATCTTATCTAGGCTGAGACACAGGGAGAAAGGACTCAGGGGAGACAGACTGGCTACATTGTTTCAATCTCTGCTGGTAAACTGCGTGGCACCAACATATAAAAATCCATGTAACAGAAGATTTAAAAAAGACCACAGTGAAACAAAAGGAAGTTCACACAGACACTTTTATCCCAAGAGGGATGAGAAGATGACTTTGGAAAAGTATGAGGTACATAACCCATACAGCACTTTCAGTTTCACTTAATCTCAGCATTTTTTCCTACCAGTAGTTCAAGAAAATGTTAATGGACTCGATTTGGGATTTAGTAAAAGCATTACATGGTCTTTGTGGAGAAGGATTTTTTTTTTTAAACAGCAAAGTACAGGATAACTTTCCTGTAAAGAAAGAAAATGCAAAGTAGTGGTGATTTTAGGAACATAGTTTGGCAATGCATTACAGCAGAAATGCATTTCTATGCACATTCTCGCCTTTTCAATTAATTGTGCATTTTCTTTTGTTTTTTTTTTCCATGGCAGGGAAGAGCTTTAATCAGGACTCCTATCGTGGAACTGATTAGAAGCCTAGAGAAGAGAGAGATCGCTTGCTACCTGTATCATAAAGTTAACCTGCATTTTGAACTCTGTTGGAAGAAGAGTATTTTATTAAGAAACATTCAATTTGGGCACAAAATCCCCATTTTAAAATGTTAGAATAGAGTAAGAGATGCTACAGTTTTTACACGTGAGCTGCATTTACGGAAATTCAAACCGTGTGAGTCTGAAAGCATCTGGAAGAGGGCAGCTGGGCCTGGGTGTGCATGGCAGAGCAGCTGTCAATCACTGTGGCTCAGGAGGCCCGGGAGGCGGGGAGGGCGAGGCTGTTCCAGGAGAAGGCGGGCTTTTAACAAATATTTTGTAGCATGCTTGTGATTGTCAGAAGGAGAAGCCTTTGAAGTAGTTTCAATATAGTTTATAGCCAGACATTTGTCTAAATAAAATATAAAGTGTTGGGGGAGGGGGAATCGAACTGCTGAAGAAAAAGCAACCTTTTTGCTCCAGTATAGAGTGAGGCTTGTACTTTATTCTCCAGTTTTGAATTTCCTGAGCGTATTAATCAAGATCACATTATTGTGTTAAGTATCTCAGTGTCCTTCCCCCCCCCACCCACCCCCAGCTGCCAAATACAATACATATGTGTAAAGTTTAGAGGGTTCCCTTAGACTAAAGATGAATTGGGGACAGGGAGGGAATGAGGGTTGGGTCAAGGCCACAGCGCTGAGAATGTAAGCTGTGCTGATGGATGGGTGGACGGAATCAGAACTGATGAGTTCTCTGACCTGCTTATGTTATCTTAAGGTGTCCTAGCCAAGTGCTGGATCTTCCCCAGTTTCTGGTATTTTTTTCCAGTTTAGCCCTGGGAGTGCGTCTGTGAGCTTCCACTTATTCCGCTGCCACCTTTAACCGCCCATGAGTACATGCCACAGCAAAGCTGCTGACAGCCTTGAAGATATCCAGGCATTTTGCAAAGGACGCATGATAACAGGGTGTGTGTCTGTGTGTGTGCACGCGTGTGAAAGCAGCTCCCTTATCTCAGTATTTCTTTTCATTCTCTATCTACATAATGAATTCTCTATGACTTCAGCGTAGGTACAAGCCATTGCTGGGGCATTTTTTTGCTGGCTTCATGTGAAAGGTAATTGATAAATGTTAATGACATTTGCCACTACTTAAAAGCTTAATTTTATTTGTAAAACTTCCAAAGGTTTCTGTTTAGCTTTAAAAAGTTTCCCCTTAAACGTATCTCTGGAATGCCAGCTTGCCTCCAGAGTGCTAGGTGGATGCAGAGGGAGACTAGGGTCGCCACCACCGGGAGCAGCCGAGCGGAGGACTGCTGAGTCCCGCAGGCCAGGCGGGAAGTGGGCCTCTGAGAATTCTGCCAGGCCTCCGTCTCTGACTTTCTTTTGTCTGACCTTTCCATTTGAGCAAAGGACTCAGCTCTGCATGGATATCTGTGCCACACGAATGACATGGACGAGTAAAGGAAGTCCTAGCCTCCCAGGGAGAGACCGGAGGCCACACAATCCGGGAAGAAGCCCGGTGGCGCCCCCTGGCTGCAGCCGAACCACAGGGGGGCAGGAGGGAGAAGCGGTTTTCCCGCTGGAGGCCCACTGATGCTCAAAGCAAAGAGCTAAAGGAGCAGAGCTTCTCTTTAAGTGTAGTTGGTATACGAGGTTACATTAGTCACACTAATTTTAGGTCTACAATACAGTGATTCGATATTTTTAATTCTGATCATCATCTGTCACCATGTAAACGTACCACAAGGTTATCTACTGCATTCCCCTTCAGCAGGTATTATGCTCAGTGATATAATTCAGGCAGAGAAAGGCAGATATATGGTTTAATGTACATGTAGAGTCTAAAAAAAAATCCCACAAATGAACAAAATTTGAAAACCCAGATTCATAGAAAGAGCTTCTTTTTAAAACAGCAACTCCCAAGGTAATTTAATGGCATGGAGTCACTTAAAAGTATTAGGCTAAACTCTCTTTTTAGGCTGTGCGATCGAGGAATACAATGTTCTGTTTATTAGAACATTCTCATTGACCTAGCAATATAATATTCAGTAAGACCATCACCTTATTAGAAAACAGTAAATTGCAGTTGGCACTAACAGTGCATGGTATGTAACTCACACTTTTAGGAAATTTATAGGTGCTTTGGAGTTTTCTAATCCATAGAGCCTTTATAATTGAGAGTCTATACACGATTCTCATTTTCATGGCTCTGGGAAAAGGGGAATTTATTTGATAAATAGGATTCCATTTCCATCATGGCGATGTTTTAAGGGTATTTGTTCACATTTATGTGTCCTAAAGTTCCATTTATTTTACCCGATTTTATTTCCACCTCTTCTTTCTTCTGCAGTCTTGTCACTATGTGCTGGCAGCTTCCCACTCCCTCACCTCCTTTTAAACCACATGGTGAATTGAAATGTAGTTAAACAATCCAAACTTAATATTACTTCTGAAAAAAGATGGAAACTGTGCAAATATTCTTTGTAGTCTCTAAAACTATGTTGGCTCAAATACGATACCTAATTGAATTATTTATTTAGATGCTTGTTTGATAAGTTTGCCTTCTACTTCATGATTTTTCAGCAGCTGGTACAGTATCGTGCTGTCATTCCCATGTTTTCTATAATGGATAGTTTGACATCTATCAGCCTGTGAGTTGAGTTTTCATTTTGATATGAGAAGTGAAGGCAACATAGTTATTTCATAAGGAAATCAGTGGACTTAGAATAAGTCAGTGGACTTAGAAGAATAACCCATCTTTATTAAATTGAGACATTTTAGCCAAAAAAAATATGGGTCAAATAAAAAAAAATGTTTTTAACAATTATCAGAAGGAATGGGTGGGGCCAGCCTTCCTCATTTACAATCCAGCTGTAAGAGTCAAGGATCCTGGCTCACTCTATTCCCAATTGTACAATAAATGTAGAAAAAAGACGTGAAGGTCACAATTCTCATATCATTTAAATGCATTGTTTTCTACAGCGGGTCCTGGCTGGAGGTGGGGAGGAGGAAGGGAGCCCAAAGTGATAGATGATGTAGAGAATCTGCCTGGAAATGTCCTTGGCGCATGCATTTTATTCCACCTTATAGTACTCCTATGAGCTAATAAGACACAGATTAAGTGGCTCCCCTCACTCATGCAGTGTACCCCTACAGACTAGACTCAATGATTCCTTTTCTTGGCTTTCCCCCCTCAGCGATATTTAATTACTTTTTCAGAGATTAAGGGCATAATTGGGAAAAAAATAACTATGACATCAAAGAATAAAGGTATAATTATTTATGTATCAGGACTGTGTGATGTTTCCGAAGTGATCATGTTCAATATGGGATATAATGAAAGATCTTTCTCTTTTATCTTATTTATAATGACATTTTATCTAAACTATGGATCAGTTCATGCTACTGTACTGTTGTTTGGAAATGCTTTAGTCTTAATGCTAGCTAATTATAAATAAAAATGTAGAAGTCTTTATGTATGTAAAAGGGTCTTTCCTTCTCATGTATATAATTGTGCCATTTTCATTATTAATAAACTTTTCTTTCAAGAACCTCGCCTACATTTTTTGTTTAATTAGAAAAAAAACATTGTAGATTGTAGCAACAGTTGAGTTGTAATTACCACTCAAAGATACAATGTGAGCATGGTATAAAAATGGAAATCATTCTTTGATTAATCTTTTAAAAAATAAAAAATTAAATTACAGTTGACATACAATATTACATTAATTTCAAGTGTATAATACAGTGATTAGACATGTTACTTATAAAGTGATCACTCTGTTAAGTCTAGTACCCACCTGGTCTATAAATAGTTATTACAATACTAGAGGCCTGGCGAACAAAATTCATGCATGGGGCAGGGGGGAATCCTTCAGCCCGGCTTGTGCCCTCTTGCAGTCCAGGACCCCTTGAGGGATGTCTGCCAGCTGGCTTAAACCCGCTCCCCTCTTCCCCCACATGGACATCTGGGGAGTGGGCCTAAGCTGGCAGGTGGACATCCCCTGAGGGGTCCTTAGCACTACCTCGGAGGTAGGAGAGGCTCCTGCCTCTGTCGCTGTGCTTGCCAGCTGTGAGCCCAGCTTCTGGCTGAGCGGCCCTCTCCCTGTGGGAGCACACTCACCACCAGGGGGCATCTCCTGTGTTGAGTGTCTGCCCCCTGATGATCAGTGTGTATCATAGCAACTGGTCGTTCTGCCATTCGGTCTATTTGTATATTAGCCTTTTATTATATAGGATTATTGACTCTGCTCCCTATGCTGTACTTGACCAACCCAGGACTGTTTTTATAACTGGTGATTCTTCTTAATCCCTTCACCTTTCTCACCTAACTCTTCCCATCTGGCTTTGCTTATTTTTTGTGTCGTGAGGATGCAGGGGAACTGGAGACAAATCTAGAGCCCACTTGTTGCCTTGAATTTTGTTGATATTTAATGATTCAGTCATCATTTAGCCTCTCTTGAACTTTACTCTTTTAAACTCTTAGAAACTTCCATTTCCCCCCTCATTCGCTTAAGGCAGGGATGGAAAGAAAGCTGATGGAGTTGATTAAAGGAACATGAGGGGATAGAGAGCACCAGCTGCCCTGGAATGAGAGAAGGAAGTGGTGAGCTGTTCAGAGAGAACAGAGGAGACAAATATGCTCAGAGCAGCCTAAAGCAATCTTGCTTGGGGAGGGCAGAAGGAAAATCGGCTGCCACTTACCTGAGCATCAACACCAGGAACTTCAGCTTTCACTTATTTCCCTTTCTGCACTTGTATGATGTCTTGCTGGCAACATGGGGTATGAAAATCCTGAATCAGTAAAGAAGAGGGTGGTCTTGATTTGTCTCCAAGACTGTATTATAAAAACACAAGGTGGGAGAAATGTGTCTAATAAGTACCTGTTGATTGATTAATTAGTGACCTAGGTTTAGGAGAAATAGTGAGTAATAACACTGTTTTGAATAATTCTGTTCAGGGCAAGCCCCACTCATGCTTAGCTCATGCCCTCCTCATGCTGGTCTACTGTCAAGCTGCCTCTGCATATGTCCCATCTCAGCTGGTCCCTGATGGGCTGTGTCCCATGAACTAACCTTTAAATTATCTTCTCACCAAAATATATGTATTTCGTGTCCCATTTTTTAAAGTACAAATAAAACTGAGCTGATATAGTAATAGTTGTTAAGAAATTACATTTTTTTTCTAAGTAACACCAATATGGTGTGTGGGATTTCTGAAAATAATTTATTTTTCCAAATGAATAGCTCTCATTGTTAATATTGCACATACCATGGCAGGTTTGGGGAAGAATATACATATTTTTGGCAGGTGGTTCTTTGAAGGAACCTCATAAAACCCATAGAAACTGCTTCTTTTATGGCTTTTTCTGTATCATGTACATGCTTCCATTCCATTATTCACCAAGGCTGTGCTGTAATTTCTTATTTATGTCGCTTACTTTCCACTAAACTGAGTTCTTTGATGTTAGGGGGCCATGTCTTGCTCATCTTTATTCATGAAACTGTTACAGGATTCCGGGCAGGAGGAAGAGGGGAACTGAGACAGGGAGGTTAAAACAAGACCAAACATTGTGGGCAATCTGCAACCAGCTTGTCACTAACAAACCATTATCTTCCCCAGCCAACGACCAGAGAGAAAATGGTTAAAAAAAAAAACCCTAAAGAGGGAATGCAGAGAGGGAGGGGAAAGGGGAAAGGAAAAAAAGGGCAGCTTTACTCCCTAAGCAGAGAAGCCAGCAGCTCAAGGCCTGGCAAGATAAAGTTGCCAGGTGCTTCTCATGAATTCTGGGAAGGCCACAACAAATGAAAAAAAAAAAAAAAAAAAAAAAAAAAGGGACCTTGAGAATTAATAGGCACCAAAATATTTAGCAGGGGAATTTTGAGACTTATAGACAGGAGGGTATATAACACCTTAGCCCCCACCCAACTCGCTCTTCAGATTAGCTGAGAGCCTGTCTGTGCTTCATATGCCAGATGTATAGGGTTGCTTGCTTTGCTTTTTCAATAAAGATGCATGCTTTAATTGCTTTTGAAACGAAACCAAAACCTCTCATATAAATTCATTTATATGAGAAAACAAGGATCAAGGCCAGGGACAGCCCTCTACATTGTCTCAGGAACTGTCCTGTCCGGTAACACCTCTCTGGTGTTGGTGAGAGGTGCCTATAACAAAACTAAAGAATGCTTGGTGCAGAATTTGTCTACAATTATTAACTAGAGGCCTGGTGCACGAATTTGAGCATGAGTTGGGTGTCTTGGCCTGGCTGGTGATCTGGGCCAATTGGGGCCATTTTGCCCAGTCCTGATTGGGGCAGGGTCCGAGGGAGGTTGGCTGGGTGGGAGGTTGGCTGTGGGAGCATACTGACCACCAGGGGACAGCTCCTACACTGAGTGTCTGCCTCCTGGTGGTCAGTGAGCATCACTGCGACCAGTCGACTGGTCGTTTGGTCGACCTGTCATAATGGTCGCTTCTCAATTGGTTTGAGAAAGTAGAACATATGTAGATATTCATTTTATGACAATTCAGCAAATGATTGTTTTGTATCCAGGAAGAAATTAGGTAGACCTATTGAAATACAAAATGTGGGTGCTTTGAGTTCCAGTTCTTTATCTTGTGAAAATCAAAGAATGAAGTCACGGATAAAAGTGATGAATGGAATCGAAGTTTATTGGGAGAAGCCAGTCCTGGCAAAGGTGCAGCAGGGACTGGGGAGCAGCCCAGTGCCCAGAGCTTCCTTTCCATGTTCCACTCGGGAGTAGTTTAGTATCCAAGCTAATTAAAACCTCGGTCTCTCATATAAATTCATTTATACGAGAAGACGGGGGTCAAGGTTGGGGATAGCCCTCTACACTGGGCCAATGGGTGTGTGTTCCCCTGTCAGGCAATCCATTGTGCACTGCACAGCCCCTGAGGGAGAAGGGAGGGAGAGGAAGTGTGTTCTCTTTTGTATAGTTGCTTGTTAGTTCCTGATTGGTTACCTGCAAGCTGCCTGCCTTGGCAATATCCATACATTTTGAAGTTCATGCCTGTCATATGCACCCTTCCCTCCCCGCCCAGCTGGGGTGTCTTGTGTCTTAGTAACTCCGCCTGGCTGGGTTCCAGGTTTCACCTCCTCCTCCCGTGGTCCCGCCTCTCTCTACCTAAGTTTTCCTGTCTCACTATGAGTGGTTTCCAAACTGAGAAAGAAGTGGTTGACAAAGATTTAAAAATAGCTCTGCGTGTTTCAAGAGACCCGGTCCATTTATATCTATCTTATTTCATTGAGTAATTCATGAATTATAAAGTAGAAAGCATTTTACAAACACCTGTCAGAAAGTATGGACTGCTACAGCCAGATGTAGTAACTTGAGTTTCTTAACCACAGAGGAAGGCGAGGAGAACATGAACAGTACGGGTTTGTAGGACAAAAATGTGACTTTCTGTTGATCGGGCTGGGAGTATGATGCAATAGTAGGCATTGTGTAAGTGTGTAAAAGCAATTTTCAAACAGTGACTTTATTCCTTGTTAATTTATTGTGCAGGACAGAATAAAATAATTGTATACAGTTCTTACATTTCTTTTAAAAAATATATTTTATTGATTTTTTTTTTTTTTTTTTTTTTACAGAGGAAGCGAGAGGGATAGAGAGTCAGAAACATCGATAAGAGAGACACATCGACCAGCTGCCTCTTGCACCCTCCCCACTGGGGATGTGCCCGCAACCAAAGTACATGCCCTTGACTGGAATCAAACCTGGGACCTTTCAGTCCTCAGGCCGAAGCTCTATCCACTGAGCCAAACCGGTTTTGGCCAGTCCTTACATTTCTTAAAAAGAAGAAGAAACAACTACCCAAAAGAAGGATGAGTAATTGGTGAAACCTGCCAGCTTTACTTAAGTTTCCGTCTTTATCCTTTCTAAAAGTATTTTTTATTATGTTTGCCCTGTGCATAGCAGAGACCGATGTCAGTAATCCCCTCAGTTCCCAAGGGTTAGCACGCAGGGGAGTCCCCCTTGTCCCCACATGTTTGTCACTCGGTCCCAGCAGAGTGGCCGGGTCCCTGGGCTGCCAAGGAAGGGCCCGCAGAGGGGACGCAGGCAGTGCCCTCCGCTCGGACCCCCCTTACCGCGGTGCGGGCACAGGCACACCTCAGAGGCCCCGCGGGCTGGTTTCAAGACCCCGCAGTAAACTAGTCTCTCCATAAAGTGACGTGTGACCTTTAGCTGGGGGAGGGCCTCGCCTCCCATCTATAAGAACACGCGGCGCCTGTGGCCTGCGGGAAAGCGAAGGGCAGTGAAGGAGGCCTCCCGTGCCTGCGTGGAAGCATCACTGGCCCCGCGCTCCTGGGAACCGACCCGCTTTGGGTGGTGTCAGGTAACTCGCAAATACTCCATGAGGATGACACTGCTCCCACTGCCACGGGCCCATCAGAGGTGTGTGTGGTAAAGAAACAAATGTTAAACACGTCCTCTGCTGTGACGAGTGATGGAAACCCATTTCGGACTTAGATTTTAAATTGCTTTCCCAGATAAGAAAATTTTCCAAGCTAGAGGATAAATAAAATTGTCGT